CAAGGCATATCTTGCTCAATTTTTAAGCTTTGATCATGTTCTAGGACATTTTGGAAAGGTCTGGAAGTCCTCTAACCAATGCCTTTGATCCCATGTCATTTTGATTTACCAATCTCAAGTTATGGTCTTTGACTTAAAGTACCTTTTTGTTGACTTTTGAAAATGACCTATAATGTTGAGATTGATAACTTTTTGTGAGAGCATTTCTTGGACTTGAAGTGTGAAGAGGAGTTGTAGGAAATGTCTTTCTCTTCAAAATGAGCTTTGGATGGAATTTTTATGATGAACCATGTGGAAGTTATGCCTTGGTCAAGTTACAGTTGACTTTTTCAACTGTCCAAATATGGAAACTTTTGCATCTTGAGACTTTTTGAGCCATGCCTTGAAAATCATGATCAAGAATTGATCAAATGATGTTTGTGGCTTCAAAATAAGATGTTGACCAAAAATTTGAACTTTTGACTGTCAAATGACCATTTTACCCCTACAGTTGACTGTTGAGCAATTAGGGTTTTTGACTGTGCAATTTTGTGTTGTGAGTCTTGAAACTTGGCATGAAGATACTTGACAATGTTTGTAGGCATGTGGGACTTGTTTGGACCCTTGAAAACTACAACTTCTTTGCCAGAACCAAAACCCTAGTTTTTGACTGTTAGGAGGCCTTTGAACTGTGCAACCCTTGGGAGATTTTGAAGCATGCTCTTTGCAAATCTTGAAGAATATGGGAGGGCAAATTTTGGGGTACAACAGACAGCAACAGGGACATAAAGTCAAAACACTAAATAACATAAGAGAATTGGTAACCCAATTTAGTATAAACCATCCAAGAAAGAAAATTCATTCTTCTATAGAATTAGTACAATGTGTCTTAGATGAACAAGTCCCTTGTTCAATGTCCCTATTCTTAATTCTATCCTAGTGTCTTTCTATTTATGACCCCTCTAAATATGATAACCCTCTCTCACTTTCTCTCAATCACTAATCACAAGTGATCAACATCAATAAACAACTTAGAGGGTGTTGAGTTACAACTCAACTAAACAACTCAACTATTATGTCTTATGAATGAATCAATAATATGGTGTATAATTAACACAAACAAAGACTCATCCTAAAACATAAATTAACACTCAAGCTCGTGGTATTCAAGGCATAGAAAGAGTCTCTATAAATAACAATCCATAGTTGGTCTTTTTCTCTTTGGATTTAGGCAGTGATCACGTCTAGATATGGTGAAGATTCTGTTAGGTTTTATTTCTCCAAAACAACTCCACTAAAAAGATTTGATTTGATATGAATTCAAATTTAAATATTTAAGATTTAAATATAACCTAATTAAATAATAAAACAAATCATATTGCTAAAATATAGCAATAATCCTTGTTGCACGCATCAGTTGAAATACGATCCAAGTGATTAAAAAACATATGCATACAAAAAAACCTTATCCTGTAGACAAGGGACGTAAGTTTCACACGTGATGGGACATACGTTCCCACATGTGTCCTTCTTCGCATAAACAACTTGAATAATCCATGTTGCTTTGCATAATGCAGTCAATCCAAAAGAAACAACAAACTCCCCCTTTGAAATTTTTTGGCAAAACAACATTCTTAAAAAGCATACAAGACATGCGACATAAGTTGAGCATTAATCACACCACATATAAGCATACAAATAAAACAACAACAATATCAAAAATCAAAGTAGCAGTAGCACAAATCAGTAACATAGACAAAAGTCAAATGGTCGCTACACACAATCAATCACAATGCTCCCATAACAATTAGTCATGCAATCACACGACCAATCATGCATGAAGACACAGTTAGTAGTCAAGTCATAATCAATAGATACTACTAACACAGTTGAGGGTCAGATGTTAGGCCAGATTCTTTAGCATGTGTGACATATTAGAACATCAATATTAGCAATTGGTACCAAAACTCATAACATTTAGCCAGTACTAAGTCATTCATAAACAACAACAACATATATCATATGGTGTAGCTAGTAGTCAGAACTTACCTACTATCCTTACAAACCATTATGTTAGAACAATATTTAGTTATGCATATGACCTTGAGTTTTGATGATAATATTACATAGGTGATTAGATAAAAATCTAGTATCCTAATGATTTATTTAGTGTGTAGCTTTTGCTAACAGGTTCTGACTCTAAAAAATTGACACTTTCTATGTTCTTTCTTCTTCTCTTCTCTTTTCTCCCTTTTCTTCTCTTTTCCTCTTCTCTTCTCTTCTCTTCTTTTGATAATTCACTTCTAATTATATTTTCTCTTACAACTATTACTAACCCTTGTTTCCTATATTGGACTTATCTCACTCATTCATTCTAATGTGACACTTAAGGTCCAATACTCAATATTGTTATTCTAACACTTGTTAACCCAAAACACAATTAAAAAATTAATTCAAATATTCACAAAATCACACAATTTAATTAATTACTTATCAAATGATAATTAATAAAATAAATAAATATTAAAATAATTACTAAAGAAAAATAGGGTGTTACAAGGTACGTATGCATAGAGCTTTCGAAGTCTTGGCGAATCAAAAATAATAAAAATACTTCTTTTCTCATCTCCCCAATCTTTTTGCAAACAACTGTTTTAACCTAACATATATTTTCAAGAGGTTCCTACGAAGTACCGTAGATGTGAGAGGTGTTAATACATTCCCCTTGCATAACTAACTCCCTTGCATAATCAATAACTTAATCTCAATTTTCCTGCCGCGACAATAAGGACTGTAATTTCTTCAAGTGATTAGGTGATGAGTTTGTTGATGAAATGGGTTTGAAGCTTGAAAGATAAAAGAAGAAAATTAAAAAATTGAAGAATGAGGTTATCCACACTAAAGGATGGTTGAAAATGTCAATTATGGTTAGGATATTAAGCTTAGAGTTGAATCTTGTGTTTGTAACAATGCATTTCAAATAGGATTAGGGTAATTCAATGTTATGTTTTCACATTTTCAATGTACTCTTATGTTGGTTTAATAAATAATGTTATTGTCTGTTTCAACACATCAGTAATGTTTGTTCATTATTCTCAATTTTAACACTGATACATAACTGGTATAAATGTTGGAAAAAAATTTCCAACATTTAACCTGTCAAAATGAAACTTAAGGGACCTTATTGTTACGAATCAAAATAGTTAATACACTAATGTGAAACAAATTATAAACTTAAGGGAATTTATAGAAATCATATAAAAAGATAATTTGGTATTATAAGTCATTTCAACATTAATTAACAGATCAGGATCCTGATACATAACTGGTTCGATGACAAAAGGTCATTATTAGGCATATATATATATATATATATATATATATATATATATATATATATATATATATATATATATATATATATATATATATATATATATATATATATATATATATATATATATATAACATTCCAAAATGTGATACAACAAGGCATTATAAGTCATTATAAGACATATCAATAACTATCGCACACTTTTCTGGCGCTCAATTGCGACAGTGATGATATGTAAAGAAATGTAGCGGTAAAGATTTGAGATTAAGCCATTAATTGATTTAACTCAACACAATGAAGTCGCCACCGCACTTTATTGTTTCCAAAGGGAAATGAAAAAAAAAATGAACAAAACCCAAAAAAGATCAGAGATCGAGGTACGGGGGTCGGTTATGCAAAGGGAATGTATTAGCACCCTAAGCATCTATGGTACTCCGCAGGATCCATTTTGTTTGGTTTCTTTTAAAAGGAGTGTCATGTAAAAGTTTACTTGCTAAAGGAAAAGAATGAATGAGTATTTATAAACAAAAGAAAATGAAATGTTTTTTTATTATTTTTGTTGCTCGCCTTGGGTCTTAAGACTTAGTGCCTACGTACTCCCTCGTGCTATGGGAAAGTCAGAGCACCGTAGTTCGGATAGAAAAGACTTGTCTGTTGATTGATTTTAAATAAGGAGACAAGTCGTCATTGTTAGGAGAGGAATCTCGACTAACGCCCACAAGGTGTGAGAAAGATGGACCCTGCATCAACAAGAGTGAGGATTTGAGAACGCCTCTGGTACTCAAGTGGAAAAGTCGACACCTTTATAACCATGGGGATAGGAGAATGTTGCTCGACTATCAATGAATCATGTCTCAACTTGAAAAAAGTTTTGAAGAGTAAAGGTGCTCGAGCGCACAAAAAGGTTTGAATGAGTTGAAGTGTTTTTGTTAATTTTGAAAAATGTCGAAGTATGATTAAGTGAATTGAAGTTTGTTTAAAGAAAAGAAGTTTTAAAAGAAAAGGCACTCGACGAAGTCGAGGTTTATTATGAAAGCGATTCGAGTTTATAAATAAAGAAGATTTTGAAAAAGAAAGATGAGAAGTTTTCGAAAATTAAAGAAAGGGAGAAAAGAGTGTCCTATGTACAGGAGGGTAAAAGATACGGTAAAAAAGATCCGACCAAATAAGAAATCAGTATTTGACATGATGAAGTCAATATTTTATTCCCATCCCTTTGGGTTTGAAGCCACAGACAGAAAAAGTAAGCTACGAGTATACCAAACCTCAGGTAAAAATAAATCACAAGCCGACAGCATCAAAAAACCAGATGTAAGATAATACTCCAAGCGGTGAATAAAGTGCAATGAATCGCAGCGCGTGAAAATAAATCACGGATGAAGAAAACATGAATAAAGCTCACGGTATAAGATTCCCTGCATCGCATGAAATATACAGACAAAACTAACAACACGTGAAAAATTATATGCGTCTATGTGATTTTTCAGAAGTTAGTTTGAATTAAAATAAAAATCGCAACGCGATGAAAATAATATTTACATAACCTAAAGTTATTTACAAATGAAGTGAATAAAATATACAGTCAAAATATAATGTACAAGTATATATTTACAGTACCAAATATTAAATCAGAATAGTAAAATACAATAAAAAGATAAAAGGGAGAAGTGTAGGAATTGTGGATGCGCTATGTGGGAATGAATACTTGAAATGATTTTTTGGAAACCTTCACAGTGACAAACACGTTAGTAGCATAAGCGATATAAAAATAAAATGAAGGAAATTGCAACAATTAAGATCTATGTTAGTAATTACAAAATATAGAATAAAAATGAAATTGTATGAATACACATGAACAAATAAATATTTACACAAATCAAAATCAAGAACTCATGAGAAAAATCAAGCTTAAATCAAGCATTATCAAAAGTTGGACAGTAACAAATTATGCATAAAAACTCATGAAAATCAATTTCCAAGTGATTCCAACCTTGTGTACAAACACCAATATTAAACCAACAAACTTTGTGAATTGAATTCAACTTGAAACATTACCAAAACCACTTTTAAAATGACTTAAACAACAAAACAGCATTAATACCGACAATTTCAAAATTAATCAACTCATGCTAAAATTACATTAAGTTCTAAAGTGAATTAAAAATAAGTTTTGAGTGCAAGTTTCAACAAGGATAAATCCGGACAACATAGCGGTAACAAATTCTTCATCACAAGTTAACAAGAACAAACCAAAAATTTTATACAAGATTTATCATCGAAACCAAATCAGATTTTTTTTTTACAGAACTTTTATCAAATGATCTTTAAAATAAATCAAAACTTGACACAAATCAGAAAAAATGCTTATACAGAAAAATTGCAATCTATTTTATCATTGTGGCAGCATAACATTTCTAACTTAAATATAAAAAAAAATACTAACACAAAACTCTCACAATTTTAGCAACGCAGTAATTAATCAGAAAACAAAATGACATCACAGTTTAAACAATCCATGAGAAACGAAACGTTACCGAACAATGTCGAAAACAAAGGTTGATATCTGAAGCTGTTGTTTGTTGTTGAACGGTGACGGAAGAGCTCGAGCGTTGCTGCTGGTTGTTAACGGTGATGATGCAGTTGGTGTGCAGCTAGCGTACAATGAAGGTGATGTTTCGGTGATGGAAGTTGATGAAAGAAAACAGAGGGAGCATGCGACTGGTTGCTGTGATTTAAGTGATCGTGGTTGTTACGATTTAGAACAGAGATGATTTGTGTGAAGGTTGCGGAAATTGGGCGAAGGGGATGCTCGGTTGAATTTGCAAAGAAATTGAAATGATAATGGAGGATGGTGTTCGGTGAAATTGAGAGAGTTAGGTTACGGTGATGGTTTAGTGTGGAAGAGAGGGGTTACTGCTGGGATGGAAGGGATAGAAGAGAGATGGGATGTTAATTGTGTGAAGAGAAAGGAAGTAAGGAGTAAAGGGAGTATGCTGTTTTGGGAATAGAGAAAGTAGATGGTTTGTGAAGAAATTAAAGGGTGTTACGGTTTGTGGGTAGGAGGGGAGGAAGAATGGATAAGGGTAATGGGTTAGAAAGAGAGAAGAGATACTACTGTGTTGCTTTTTCTTGTTGTGTGTTGTGAAAATAAAGAAGAGATACTAGTGTGTTGCTTTTTCTTGTTGTGTGTTATGAAAATAAAGAAAATCATGAAGCCTTTAAATAGAGAAGATGAATAGGAATATTGTGATTTCAAATTAAATTCAATCTGTTCAATATTTTCAATTCCGCATTAATCAGTAACTATTATTATCAACCAAGAGTATAATTAATATTTCTTTATGTCAAAAACGCCCTTAAATGATAAAAATAAAATAAAAAATTGAAAGTATTTAAATTAATTCAATTTAAAATAATATTTTTAAATTTTTTTTGAATAAAAAATAAAGACCCAAAATGATTGAAAACGATAAAAGATGAACGAAAATTTATCTGAAAAAATAAAATGAACACATTAAAATAAACTACATGTCACAAAGATTAAACAAAAAATATTCAAAAAGTTTAAATCGAAATAAAATGGTAATAAAAATATCAGGCTAAACAGACGTTTACGGTTAAAAACGAGACTTCAAACTGTACCGAAAAATAAAGCGAGCATACTATCATAATCTACGTGAAACGCAGATTCATAAAATGATCAGTAAAAGGTAAAAACTTGAAATATTTTTTCTCGCTAATTTTTCGCACAGTGTTGAATCGCTTTTAACAATTTGTTTGTAAAATCGAAATATTTTTATTATCGACATATAAACAACTTGGAGCAATGCAAGAAATGAGTAAACTGATAAAAATGCATGACGTGAAATGTCGGGTCTTTTTCCACTACAGAATGATGTAAATGTCGATTTAAACTGACTTTTGGTCAACTTAAACACGATTAAATGATGCAAATGTAATGAATGAAGCTATTTATTAATGATTGTGACCAAATGACAAAATATGATATGAATGTGCGACTGAAAAAATTAGGGACGAAATTTAGGGTGCAATAATAACATTACAAAAAGGCATTATATGTCATATCAGTAAGCCATTAATAGACATATCAAAATGATTCTACAAAATATGACCAACATCATAGCAAACAACATAAGAAACATCAAGGTTGACTTGAAACAGGCTTCTCACCCTTTTGATGTTTTTTCTTTTCGTTTTGGGTGGTGGCTGAGTTGAAATAGTTGGTGGTGGTGGCTGAGTTGAAACAGTTGGTGGTGGTGGCTGCCTTGAAACAATTAGTTGTGGTTCCTGAAAGTTCTTTATGATACCTGACTTGGAGGTGCTTGTGGTTGGGGTAATTTACATGTAACCTTGTTGTGGCCGTTCTTGTGGAAACGATTGCAGTTGATTCCATGTTTTTTCAGTTTCAAGTGTGTCTTATCCATAACCATTTCTCCAACTTCTCTATTCCTCTTTTTCTTGAGCCTTCCAGATGTCTCTCTATTGATGGTGGCTGAAGATCAACAATATCAGATTTTATCCACAAAGCTTCCCTATTAACTGGATAAATAACTGGTGCATAATAATCTGAATAGAGTTCCTTCTTGTAACATTCAAGTACAAAATCATCAATTTGTAAATATTGATCATTCATGCAAGACATTGCATGGCAACATGGAAGTCCCGTCAGCATCCACATTCTACATGAGCATTCTTTCATATAAAGGTTGACAACATATTTTTTCTCATTGAGTGATATATGCATTACCCTGTACTTGGCGTGAATCTTGATTTGCTCTAAAATTTTGGTGGAATTTTGATGAGATGTTTGAATGCCTCTTCGTTAAGTCCCTTGATTTCAAGCATTATTTTCTCTCAAGCCTTTACATGACTTGCACATGCAGCCCTTCATATCAATTTCTTCAGTTTTAGGCCAGGGAACTCTTCTTGAAGTTGCTATATAAATGTATACGATGCATAAAACTGACTTATAATGAAACATGAAAACAGATATACAGACTTACAAAATCTCTGGTCAACATTACCTAATACAAAATATGTGGTCAACATTACCAAGTAACTCCTTAATAGCTGGCAACAAACTCTGCAATCAGAAATAAGTAAAACAGGTGGTGATATTTAAACAATTGTGAAATGAGTAAAATTTAAGGTGAGAGTTAACCTTTTGTTAATCACTTATGAAAGTATAGGTTTTGCACAATCTGACTCCTCCCAAACCAGTTATCAATAATTCTAAAAACCAGCTCCATGATTCTCTAAAAATCAGCTCCATGATTCCACTTTTCATGTGTCTTCTCCATAGTATTAGCCAACTTCAAAGTTGGATTCTCTCTAACACTTGTGAATATTTTGCCTAACCATTTGAAATTAAGGAACCTAATCTTATAATCTCTAATACATGTAAGCTTGTCCACTATTGTCCTTAATTTCCAAGTCTCTCCACCTTTTATATTTGCACAGTATGCCTCTCATGAACAACTTGCCTTGCATTTTACTCTAATCATTGCTTTGTCATTTTTAGTAAATTCCAAGTTCCTTCCTAAATGTATAGCATAGATTCTTATTGCCTCTTGAAATACATCCTTTGTAGCAAAATATGTACTTAATTCCTATTTGTAGTCTTCCATTTTTTAGAAGCTTAAATGTTACAAAATCATCCTTTACAACTTCATCATTTTCACTATCGTACTCCTCAATGTCACTTAAACCTCTCAAATTTTCCTTCAAGACCTCACCATCATTATCATCACCTTGCCTTGCCTTTTGACTTGCTTTTTCCTTACCCCTTGCCTTATTGTTTCCTTTTCCATTACCTTTTGCCTTGCCTTTTTCATTTGTATTCACTTCCTCCTCGTCAATTGTTATCTCTCCATCAATTCCTATATCATTTTCCAAATCTTTAAAATTGTCATTCAAACCACTGTCTTCACTTCCCTCTTCTTCCACAACTTCTTGGTTACAATTAAATCCTCCATCTTCTTGGTGGTTACAGTTTAGTCATTCATTGTTCCCCTCTTCTTCAACGTTCATCTCTTGACCCATTCTCATCACTAACACAATCGGTCTCCATATTATCCTTATTGTCACAATTTGTCTCCTCTTGACCCACATTCTCCTCAATATCACAGTTAGTCCCCACATTTCCTCAGTTTTCTCATTTGTTGTCCCTTTTCCGCCGCATCTTCACCCACTATTGTCCCATCATGATTATTTCTCAATTCAAGCCCTTCACCAACCACATCTTCACCCACGGTGGTTCCATCTTAATTATTATCCAGTTTAGGCCCTTCACCCACAACATCTTCACACATAGTGGTCCCATCTGGTAGTGAAAGTATAGGCTCATCAATAATATCAGGTTGAGAAACAGGATGAGTAACATACAAATGGCATTGCCCCAGTCAGCACTGTAATTATTTTCATTCTCTCAGTCTGCTTGTCATTTTCCAACAGAACAATATCATCAACACTCATGTCATCGTAATATCAAAACTTATCTATAGTAGAATAACCTAACTCTTTTAACTTGTCCATTATGTCAAAGTAACTTCAATAATCGAAATTAACATCTCAAATTTCCTCTAACCTTACATAACCTGACTTGATAAAATTGTTAAACTCCCTAAAAAAATCACCGGAATGATGAACATTGCACTGAAACCTACTCTTTGTGACCTATTCAACCTACATACCGTAGAAGAAGTACTAAAGAAATTGGGTAAAGAAGAAAGTTAACATTTTTAATAACTTAAGGTTGAGTATTCATACCTTAGGGTTTCTTCTTCAAATGATGGACGAGTGGAGTTTGTCTTCAATGGATGTTCAATGGAGTTTGTGTTGTGAATCGTCTTTGTTGGTTGTTCTCTCAAACTGAGCTTCTCTCGGCTTCAATGGAGGTTCTTTTCGTCTCTCAAGCTGAACTTCTCTTAATATGAGTTTTTCTTTAACAAAGACCTTTCAGCTTCTTATATTTTTCATTTGTAATATTTAAATCAATAAAAAAAATAAAAAATTCCAAGTCAGCTATGAAAGGTCCAGCAAGACAATTTTTAACGTTATTTCATCAAAAACTAACAGAAGGGACTAAAATATGTAAGTAATATAAGTTCATGGGCCACTATGTAACGTTTTTTATTTGAGGGACCAAAGTGAAACATTGATTAAAGTTAAGAGACTAAAAAAGGTATTATATTTTTATTTAAACTTTACATGTTAGCCGAATAAAGTTACAAGCAAATGCTCCAATCAAACGAGCTAAGGAGGTACTATATTTTCATTTAAGCTTTACCAGTTAGTTGACTTAATTTACAAGCAAATGTTCCAATCAAACTAGTTAAGGTTAAACTTCTTGGTAAATGTCCAATTGTTAAGGTTAGGGGACAGTCTAAAAGATCTTCAAGGAATACATTCTCAACCAGTTTTTCAATTCGGCAACTGAAATAATACTCTCTCTAGTCCTTAATATAAGAAAAAGTTAACTTTTAAAATTAATTGATTCTTCAATGTATTTGGACTACACAAAGTCTAAATACATTGATTATTCATGGATGAATCTAATTTTTCTTATATTAAGGACCATAGGTAGTACAATAAAAAAATCAGCAAGTGTCTCCATTTCATAAAAGAATCCATAGGGCAAGGTGTAAAAGCAACCCTTCACTGTACTATAACCATCCTAATAAAAAACGTTTTTTTGTCCTCCAGAGTATTATCAAGATTACCAAGGAATATACTTTTCACATTATTTTTGGTACCTTGTTTCTTTTGAATGGCAACTAGATGAATGTTATATTAACTGGTTTCAATCACTTTGGTATCCATGAATTTAATTCCCCAATGTACAACCACATATATGACTTGCTAGACCTGTCTTAATGTGTTAAATCAAAATCTTAACATTTGTACTGCCGTTGACACTTTTCAATAGGGAATTTCAATAGGGAAATTCAATAGACCCAATACGGAATTTCAATACAAATAAGCCGGTCCCTTCACTCAAACCAAAGACTCTAATAGCATTTGTTGGGACAATTCGAGAGCTCAACAATATCTAAGGTTACCGAACTCGAGAGTCTATGCAAACTTAATGCATTTTTGTAGACTTGATTCGTAGAGTTACAATAACGCTGTAAACATCTACCACAGCAGCATGACACAATTTAAAACCATATGCATAGTAAGTATTCAAAATTCTGACTTGGTGATAAACCAAACCACAATAACAACATTAAATATTTGTAAGCAACCAATAAATTCAACTGAAACGGGTCATAGCTTCAGGACAAACCAAAGCAGACCAGACAATAATGCACAAGCATAGCAGCACAGTTCAAATATGGACAAAATCTTAATCATCTATGGAGTTGAGTGCTACAACTGGGGTGTAAATGTTTCATGCGCGACAAAGCCCCATCATTCAAGTGACAAGGGTTGCATTTTTTTTTTTTTTTTTTTTTTTTTTTGCTTAACATAAAAAATGACTTACTATCATTTTAAGCAAGTGTGGGGGACAATGACTCATTCAATCATTTTAGAATTCCTATTCTATGAGTCTATCTGAGTTTACCCCAAAATGATTTCATAAGCAAGTCGTGATCTTGTTCAATTCTATGAGTTAACTTTGGAATTTGACAGCCATGTTTTTTAGTGTTTAGATACATTACTTCATCATCTAAGGAATCAAACAAAGCTGGCTAGCAATCTAAATAAAAAAAGTCACTCGATCAGAATCACAACACACCTCAATGACACTATAACACATGAATTTTAAGAGCATAATACAAATTGTTATGATAGATTGCAAGCGAGAACATATAAGAAGTAATCCAGCAGCCAAATAAAAGAGAAATAATCAGAATATTATTAGATAAATCCATTATGGGGACCTGAGACAATTATCTTCTATACATACACATTACAGATACAAGGAAAACATACAACATAGAATAGGAATTACAAAAACAATGATTATAAATTCTTTAAGATATAATTGACTGAACCAATAACTGAAGAAACACAATGAAGACCTGCACAGATCACAGTACAAAGAAGATCGGTTGATGGACTCACAGTTTACATCTTGGATAATCTTCTTATCAAGGGTCATATTCGGAAAACATCTGTTTGAAATCTCTCATCATATAGTCTCCAATGTCCATATCTTTCAGTGTGATAGACAGATCTTGGAATGTAGAAATTTGGTTTTTTAATATCTTTCAAGCGCGACAAACTTGACGACGCATTTGCAATGTCTCGGCTAGTTAAGTTAGCGCAGCCAGACAAATCCAAGTGCTCCAGGTTAGGACACCCCTGACATATCGAATTAAGGCCTTTTGCCGTTAACTTGGAGAATCTAATCTTTAGCGACTCTAGATGAGGCATATAATTAGCAATAGCAGCAGCTTCAGAATCTCCATCTTGTGGACAAGCATTTAGGTAATCATCGGGAACAATCCCTATGTGTTGGGAAGGATCAAGCCAGTTCATGAGATTTCTCTTGAGAACCTTAAGGTTGGAGCAATTTCTTCCAATCAACACCAATGACTCATGAGTTATCTCATAACAATAACTGATGTCCAGTTCCTTTAAATTTGGGCACCCAGTAGCAATCTTAGAGATTGAATCATCAGTAACACGAGGGCAGCTTCTTATAGACAACACCTCAAGATTTGGACATCTGAAATGCAGTTGAATTGCGTTCCAACAAAACAAAGAAACACAAGGCTTCATAACATACATACATACATACATAAAGACTATACGCCCCAATGTTGTATTCACGATTTAAAGCAGAAAACATTTTACAGGCTAAGTTTTAGTTTGGTTCTGCAGTAGAAAAAAATGATTTTGAATAAGTTAGTTTAAGAGTATGTTTGGTTATGTGGTGAAAAAAATTGATTTTGAATTAATGATTATGTAAAATTGATTTTGAATAAAAGTGAGTTGAACGTGTAAAGTGATTTATGTTTAGATTTATGGAACATTGAGTTGATAAGTAAATTTCAATGTAATAATTATGTTTAAACTCAAAATCTACAAATTAAGAAGACTCATTTCTGGAGGCAGAATCAATTCTACTTTAGAAGAACCAAACACCTCAAAATCATTCCAAAATCAGTTCTACACCTCTAAAATTGCTTTTGGCTCTTCCAAAAGCTAAACCAAACATACACAAAAAAATCGATTTTGAATAAGTCAATTTTGTAAAATTGATCATGGCTAAAAGTTAATCAAAAGCAAAGTAGTAATTAATTGGGTTAAATTCATGTAAAGGTGTCTTGAACAATAAATTGAAAGCAAAGTAATTAATTGGGTTAAATTCATGTAAAGACAATAGCTATAAAGTCTAACTTAAAGTTCAAATCAAATAGAGTCAAAATTCAATTCTACTCAGAATCTTGTAAAAACCAATTCTAAACTCCTGGAATCAATTTTGCCTCTCCACGTGAAAAAAATATAAACTTTGAGCAATTTCAGAGTGAAACCCTAAAAAATAATTGCAGAACCAATTTCCAATTTGAAATTTGTACCTTTGGGCAACGAGATTGAGGGATCGATCAGAGCAGTGTCGAATGCGAATCTGGGTGAGGAATTGATGAGTGGATTGAACGATAGATAGAAGCATGGAATCGATTTTGGATTCGAATTGGAGGGTCCACCAGCGAGGTGACTCGGATGGCGAGTCGAAGTACGGTTCGAGGTTGAATACAGAGTGGAGAGAGGGTTCCTGGAAAGCGGTGAACCATGATTTGCAAACGAGCATCGCACCGCGCCATTGATCCTCGGCGGTGAGTCGAGATAGGATGTTGATGAGGCATTCACGAGTCAACTCGCCCCACTCGGACTCGCTTTCTTCCATTTGGATTCGCAACTGTTTTGTGTCTCTCTCTACGTAGCTATTAACACGTCCATATAAAATTCAGAATTCTAATTATTACGCCTGTGCTAAATTCGTACAAGTTGCACCGTCATTAAATAAAAAAAGTATTTTTAAAATAAAAAAATAAAACGCAACTGTGCATATAATTAAAAGAGAGATAAAATTATCGTTCAATGGTAATTCACACTGGAACATTATATTTGACATGCAATATAAATATGTTTGATGTAAAATGAAAGAGTGTGAAAAAGATTGTTGTTGGGTTCTTTGAAGAGATGGAGGCACCGCTACTTTCGAACTTGGAAGAGGTTTGTTTTGTTTCAACACTCACCACTACCATTACCCATTTTCCTGTTATCTGCATTCTTTCTTCACATCACTGTGCTGCATTTTCTTCCTCTTTTCTGCATCATATATTTTTACCGACCTTGATTTTCTTTCTTGAATTGCATGTGCTTTTTGTTCATCCGAATCTGTTATTCACCCTTTTCATATTTTTATGCAGGGGGATGATTCTTTCTTTAACTACCTCAACTCTCTATCTCCTTTAAACTCACTTGCCATGGACTCTTCTCTTTTCACATCACCCGATGTCACTTTTTTTGAGGATTCCACATTCTTCATTGCTACCAATAACCTTTTGGATACACCAAACCCTCAAGTTGAGTTATCTAGTCAACAAGCTGTGCAATATGGTTCTTGTAGCCCACAATATCAACAACCTCTAATCTCAAGGGATGATGATGTTGACTACCTTCTTGGATTACTTGACATGCAAGAACCATATGTACAAGATGACTCTATCAAAGATTTAATTGAGGGTGAAATGTATATTCCAGAAGTTGGTCAGATTGAAGCAAACACTCAAGTGCCAGATTGTGATTACGATAACTTAATTACTACAACACAATCTTTTATTCCTTTACCACAATCTACCACTCACACTAGTAATTATAAAATGCAAACTTTTGATCCACTTGCTTCTGAAAATAATCTTTATGAACCAATTGCTGCCACTTACACAAATCAAACATGGAACAATCTTCCCAATTTTGCTCTAATGGATACCAATCCAATTCAGACAGGGAATGTCGAGGTTAGAAATTTGCTGCATTTTATCTATTATCATAAAATTTTCTGCATTTTATCTATTATCATAAAATTTTCTGCATTTTTGTATTGCATGTCATGTTATATCATGTTCTTTTGTGGTTTATAAATGTTCATTTCATTCTACTTGTGTGCCAACGTGTTAAACAAATCAATCATTGTAAAAATACTTTTGTTTTTGTATATAGCTTGTGCGTATTAGACACAGTATATGGATGGGTCTTCTAGACTATGGGAAGACCACTTATACTTCTAGCATCACTTCCTCCTGTTCTTTAAAATCTGATGAGAGGAATGCAATTCCAGCCTCAAATCATTACGGAGGCATAGAAAGTGAAATCACGTTTTCTGGAAGGAATCCTGAACTGCCGGGCTGCACTTCTTCTTTGCATCTTTCTGAAAACCACCTATCGCAGGTCCCCGCATCAATGGAAAGACATTTGGGGCCATCTGATAACGAAGTTCCGTCTACAAAAGATTTCACTAGGTTCTTAGTTCACATTACGGGTGACGATTTCTGTTGGAGTACCCTCAAAATGAAGAGTGAACGATTGGATCCTTCAAACATGAAAAAAAAGAGGAAAGGTCAGATTGAAAAGGAAGAGGAAAGTGATGATTTCTGTCCGAATACCCTCAAAAAGAAGAGGAAAATGTAGTTGTTGATTATTTTTATTCCATTATTAAGTTAGCTCTTATCTTTCTTCAATAGCCTAACACCAAAGTTCAATTTCGCAGCCACAAATCAGGCCACTGTCAATGTAAAAAATCAGGCTGCCTGAGGAAACATTGTGAATGTTTTAAGGTTTTCTTTCTCCACTCTGACATATATATCATTTATCATGTATAGTAAACTTTTAGTTTCATTTATAATATGAATTACAATTGTTGTTGGTTTTCTTTTGAAGGGTGGTGTTGGTTGCTCCCCAAGCTGTAAGTGTCAAGGATGCGAGAATATATATGGTAGAAAGGATAGGGAGGCGGAAACAAAATCGGAGCTTGAAGAAACAGAAGCATTCCAGATTTTGAGGTATGATGATATGCTAATTTTAGTGTTTGATTAGAAGATAAATTCGATGTTCATTATTGGTCTTTGCATGTGACAGACCATTGCCTCCATTACCTTATTTATCATTGTGCTGAATTGTTTGGCAGCCAAAAGCAAGAGCCTGTGGAATCAAATGCTATTGGATCAGTGTATTCGTATGAAAATATAGAATGAAGCCACATGGGGTTACAACTTTAGCAGAATGATATTTTGTATAGACTTACAAGCATTTCATACTCCTAAAAGTTTCCACAATGTAACTGAAAAGGCACGACAAATGAAATCCACAAAGGCATTGAGTTAAATATTTTGTCGCAAATTGGCTTAGTAGTAACTTGCATAGGCATTGAGACGCATTCAATCTTTCAATCATTGCAAAGGTAGCAACACGAGTTAAATTTCCTGCAGGAATTTAGATTTAACTACGTACGACAGTATCAATGTATTTAGATTTACAGATTTAATGATGATAGACAAAAATCAAATAGTTTGTTCTTTCCAAGCTAGTTATATACTTTAGAAGTGGATTATAGTTTGGTCACTGCGTTACACATTTAATTTTTATATATTGGAATGAGTTAAAATACGAGTATATGATTTAAAGTATTGGTGAAGCATGTATGAAATAGAAAGTTGAATTACTTTAAGCTAAGCTATGTCTAGTGCAGTAAGATAGATGAGCTGAATTTGAATCTTGTTGAAGAAATATCACCCTCATGTCTTCTAATTCTTTGCTGTGTCATCCTTCCGTCGTGTTTAGATTTTTTTTTCTACCATCATTCATTCTCGTCATGTTTTGTGCACTCATTGTGCTTCATCCAGTGCCTCTCTTTTCCACTGCGTGTTTCTTCCTGCATTGTAGTCATCTCAGGTAAATTCTCTCCTAATAGTACTATCTTCCACCTCAAGCAACTTCAACAACTCATTATTCAATGAATTTTGCTTATAATAATGGCTGGAAGAAGTAATGTAATAAGTAGTAAGAGGAATACGTTGAGTGGTTGCTTTGACAATGTTTTGAAACTCGTAAACTAAACCCTGATTGTGATGATTGTAGTTTTCGAGAGCAAGTTTGGAGAGGTGAATGAAATGTGGGAAACATATCAGATTTCAGCCGCTTCTCTTGTTCGTTATCCATCCACATTAGGTAAGAAGGATTGAATTACAATTCACTGGTTTCGAGATAAAAGAGACCAAAATCCTCTTTACTAAATATTGTACTTATAACCAAGAAAACGTGACTGTTTTTGTTTGGGCGGATCTTCCTATGTTTACTAACCCAGCCCACCCATAACAAATCCTGGAGATACATCCATCCATTTTTCTATCTACTTAATCTAAATAGAATCTCTTTTGACGTAGTATTCACCGGTATTTACAGTTGATAAATTATTTATAATTTACTTTTTAAATAATGGAGATAGGTGACACATGCATAATGTATTCTAAAAAATAAAAAAAATATAGTTGTTGGGAATCGAAGCGTGCTACACATTATTTTTTACTACGGTATTTAAAATAACCATCATTAATTTACTGTTTATAAATTCAACAACTCACTAGACGCGAAAATATTAACCTATTACTACGGTATATATGGATGCATTGTAAACATGGCGTTGTTGTTTGCGCGTTTTGTAGTAGTGCCATATACATTTACTTGATCGTCCCGGCCGAGGCTGTCAACACAGTGCTCATTCGCAAAACCCCCGACGGACAGAGGCCTATATACTACACGAGAAAGGCCCTACAAGGCCCAGAAATAAGATACCGACAAATCGAGAAGGTCGTGTTGGCCCTTATCAATGCTGCGAGGAAATTGAGACACTATTTCCTAGCGCACACATTGGTGGTACGAACCGATCAGCCCGTGAAATAGTTGCTCGATCGTTCAGACATGGTCGGCAAAATGCTAAAATGGTCGCTAGAGCTATCAAAGTTTGACATCTAGTACGAGAGGAAGAAGGCCCTTAAAGCTCAGGTTCTGACCGACTTCGTGGCAGAAATGACCACTCATACCTCCCCAGTAGGCGGGGCACACAAGTGGACCATCTTTGTGGACAGGGCCTCCGGCTCGACGGGAAGTGGAGCGGTACTATTGGCCCACCATGCATCACGAAACAAAGGAGCGTATCAAAAAATGAGACAAATGCCAACGCCACATAGACATGCACTTGGCACCATCCAACGAGCTGAAATCTCTATCGTCCCTGTGACCCTTCGCCTGGTGGGGAGTAGACATCATCAGACCTTTCACCGTAGGATCTTACCATAATAGATACTTGATTGTCGTCGTCGATTATTTCACGAAGTGAATAGAGGTCGAGGCCTCGCCAAAATCACAGTGCAAAACATATTACGTTTCTACAAAAGAAACGTGCTCGTATGGTTCGGCGTACCTCAAGCGCTCGTCATCGATAACGGGACACAGTTCACCAACAAAAACTTCCAAGACTTCGTTGATAATTTGGGCACCAAGCAACACCTTACTTATGTCTAGTACCCTCAAACGAACGGACAAGTCGAGGTCGCAAATAGAGTGATCCTGTGAGGATTAAAATGACGAATGTGCGAAGCCAATAATAGGTGGGTCGAGGAGATACACAATGTACTCTGGGTCTACAGAACTACACAACACTCGACCAAGGGGAAAACTCCCTTCTGACTAGCCTACAGAATCGAGACTATAATCCCAGTGGAAGTCAAAGAGTCGTCAAGGCAAACTGAAGATCCCCTCGACGAAGAGATGAACGACGAAGCCTTAAGAGATGAGCTCAATCTGGTCGAAGAGATACGGACAGGGGCATCCCTTTGCAAGGCCACATTAAAACAAAAGATAACTATGAGTCACGACACCAAAGTCATAAAACATAAGTTCCCAGTCGGCAGCCTAGTCCTGCGAAGAAATCAGAAAAACTCGCACGAGGGAACACTCGTCGCAAACTGGGAAGGTCTTTACCACGTCCGAGAAAAAATGGAAGGTGGGGCCTATTACCTCACAAATTTAACCAAGGAAGAGCTTTCTCGACCATGGAATGCATAAAAGCTAAAGAAATATCACAGTTAGTCCTAAACAGCACTACGTCTAGGTCTAAAAGCAAGCATGCCCCAATCGACGGGAAACAAGGCACGCTCGACCACGAAAGTGTGTTAAGGTACGAACACCTCCTCCCCGAACTTGAAACCACTAGGAGGGCTCTCGCTCATAGGAAAAGCAGAGCCTTAGCCTGACCGGGATACCTCAATCGACCTCCACCATCGCAGTACCAATGAGGAAGAACATCCAGCTCGCGATGGAAAAGTTCACGCCACGGGATCAAGATCCCGACCGCGGTCTTGATCCTGTTATCAAGCGGAACCAACTTTTCATCCTCAACAAGTCTCCCTACATTGTCAATCATAAGTCACGTCGAGCAATCAACCTCACACAAGTTGTTAACATAAATGACAGCAAAATATTTAACATGCAAGACAAGCATACAAAAGAGAAACATTTAAAGTGTCGACCACACTGGCCGACATTGTCAAAATATAACAAATAACCGGGCAAAGCCCTTTGTCCAAATATTACAAAAAATACGGGCATGCAGGCCCAAACAAACCAAACAAGAAAAACAATTACACCAAAATCACTTGTCACTACAAACATCTTATGCGGTGTCATGGGGGGAGTTAGGAGGAGGAAGTAGCTTGTCGTCGACCCCTTGGGACAGCAGCCTGATCCCTTCGACATTAAGCTCGAGGTTCAGCAACTCGAGTTGGGTCACCGTAGTGTCTAATCCCATCGTCGTTGCTTCCAAAAAATCTGACTTGAGATTCTAAATCCAAGCAACGAATTCAGCAGGAGTCTTCAAGGATTTTGTCCTGTCGGACTCATCCTCGGTAGGCTTAGTAACAATTGTCAAACCGACTATCTCGTCCTCGGAACTCTTCTTCTCAAGCAGCCAGGATTCTCTGGCCTTAGACAATTGGACCACTTCCTACTCCTTCTTCTTCAACTCGGTGCCCTGGACCCGAAATTTATCTTTAAAATTGTCTAGGGAAGTCTTCAGCTCCTTCGATTTGACCTCGAGGGTCTTTTTCTCCGTCTGCACTTTTTCCAGCACAGCAGCAGAGCCAGACTCCTTGCCTGAGAGGACCACGGCCATCTCCAGAACCTCCATCATACCAACGGCACTTTCGGTCAGCTACTTCCTCCTGCCCTCTGAACCAAGACCACGTATGATCGCTGATTCTGTGTCGGGCACGTTCAAGGGAAATTCGTCGAAGAAGCCCTTCTGATCGAATCAAGGGGAAAAATGAAAGCCCGGGCGTCAGAATCATTCCCCTTCAGGTCTAGAGTATCACACTCAGGGTGATCCCTCTTTCTATCTGAGAGCCCCTGCGCAGCTCGAGACTGTTCGACACTCGGAGACATAGAGGAGGTACTATAGCCATCTCTGGCCTGGCCTGGATTTGGGGAAAAGCGACTAGTATTCAACATCATTTTTCTCTTCATTGTATCCTGCACCAGTTTGAGCAAACACTCATGGGAGTTCGACATGCTACCTGCAGAAAATAATGAGCCCCGAGTTAGTACACTAACGAAATACATGTGACCATGCTAAAAGGGTTGAAAAAACCAAAAGGAAAAATACGTGAGCAGATGCCTAGAAGCACTACACAGTTCTCGTAATAGTGGGACTTGAGGAGTTCCTTAGTATTAATCGCTCGAGCCTCAAATACGGGCTCACCGTCGTCATCGAGGAAAGTCTTTCCCTCCCTCGTCATCCACTTGGCAGGGTAGAAGCCGTCAACGAACTTGCAAAGTTTGGCATATGACGCTTCGTCCTCCTCGTCCATAGGACCCTCCGGGGGTGAGGTAACAACTCAGGAGATGATCAAAGTGAGTCAAACTTCAGTGGAAGGGAACTTCGAGACTAGCTTCGTCTGTACGGCACTGTTTTCATGATATAGCGTGTTTCCCTCTTTGTCGACCAGAATCGCCTCCTCCAACGCCGAGTCAAAGGCCTCTTGTGACACTAGCCTAACGAGGAAATATATGTCCTTAAAATCATGGACGGATTCCAAAAACATCTTGAAAAGATTCTTCTTTGACTGCTTCAGAGAAACCCAACCATGTTTCTCTTCCACAGTTTGTCGTTGAAGTCAGAAGTAGCGACAAAAAAGAGGAA